GGCAAAGCAAGAGAAGATGGCCTAAGTCCTTGGGCCCCTGCACCCACGTGGGAGACCAGGAAGCAGCTCTTGGCTCCTGGCTTTGGATCGGCACAGCTCCGGCCATTGTGGCCAACTGGGGAGTGAACCAGTGGATGAAAGATCTCTCTCTCTCTCTCTCTCTCTCTCTCTCTCTCTCTCTCTCTCTCCCTCTCTGCCTCTCCTTTCTCTGTGTAACTCTTTCAAATAAATAATATTTATTTAAAAAAAGAGAGAACCTCAAAGGGTTAATTATAAAGGATCCTAAAATGAAGACAAGTCTATGATTTCCACCTGTGGCAGGTAAGAAATGTTTCCTAAAAAGAAAGTAACATTTTCTCTAATAATACTCCTTGCTGTCTGGATTTTGCTAAATCACTTTCTACGTGCTGTTTACATAAAATGCATCACTGTCAGGAGAGGCTCCAAGTTATAAAATCATTGGAATAATTTGTGCAACTTTCAATTGTGAATAGCTGAAGGGAGTGGGACCATGTGCTCCCCAGACTTCTTGAAAAACAGGGAAGGAAGGGTGAAGGCCCATTTCTCCCTGTCTCTTTTTGGTTCTCCAGTTTCCAAGTAAGGAACAGAGGGCACGTCAGACTGGGGTCTCAGAGATGGTTCCAGAACCCAGGATGCCCAGAGCCAGGCATGGACCCTTGCTACCTCATGACAGAAATACAATCCTTTTGGTGAAGCTACAGTATCCATCACCCACACTAATTCAGTCTTTCAGTAAATAAGGTACCCTTCTGGGGGTGGGCATTTGGCATGGTGGTTTAAAGACACCAGTTCCCACATCCACAACCCATACAGGAGTTCTTGGAACCAAGTCCGGCTCCGCCCTGATCCCAGCTTCCTGTTAGTGTGTACCATGGGATGCTGCATGTTCTGCTCAAGTGTTGGGTCCCCACCACCCACATGAGAAAGCTGGATGGAGTTCCTGGTTCCCACCTTTGGCCTGCCTCAGCCCAGCTCCAGTGGCTGTGGGTATGTGGTGGAGTGAAATAGTGGCTGGAAATTGACTCCCTTTCTCTCTCTCTTAAAAGAGAAGGATAAAAAGGTGTGTTTTAGAAGCCAGGACAGCAGGTGCCACCAAGAATCACGTTCCAGGGAAGTGACTCCTGAAACGTGGGGAAACACAGGGGAGGCACAGCCTGTGGGGAGGCAGGCGCTGTGCTGACACGGAAAAGGCGCCAAGCTCCTGGGCCAGGCCGCCAGCTCAGAGAACAGTGTCCGCACTCCTGACCAGGACCCACATGACACGCCGCTGCCTTGCCCAGGGGGACAGAACCACCCTGCAGTGTGAGGGAGCCACTGGGACTGGCATCTCCTGTCACCTGGACCCCTTCACCAGGAGTGAGTGCTACACACAGCCCATTTCCTCGCCACACAAGCAGTGTGCTCTCTCTGGCTCAGGAAGATAAATACTTTGGCCTTTGCTTTTAGATTATGGGACTCAGAGGTACAAGGGTGTCAAGAAGGAACTGTACACAAATATCCCGGGATCATACTTAATATATGTATTTAGACCAAAAAGAAACTAGGCATTAAAAAAATGCATGTGAATTACAACCAACAAATTCAACATTCAACAAGGAATACTACCTTAAAAATGCTTGACCTACAAAATGGAAACCACAACTTCTTTAGCCATGTGATATTCAGGTATTTCCAGGGACATTTTATTAGCTGGCACCATCTAGACCACTCCTGACTCCTTCCATGAGAAGAGTTCAGTTGTTCTTCAGAGGCCGTTGGGTTGCTTTTTGTTCTATTTTGTTTTTTCTTGTTTAAAATCAGTTTTGAGGTTAAAGGGCAGCATCGTGTTTTCCAGAGTGGTTTTTTCCCTCGACCACCAATTTTATATAATCAATAAGGACAAAGCAGTACATCAAAAAAAAAAAAAAAATCAAAGAGCTTAATTTTGTTACAAGTGCAAAGAGTATGGAAATATTGGAGCCTTTTGACAGTAAAGGCCTCCACCCCAACTCTTCTTCTAGGTGACCGCGCACACCCAGCCCCCTGCAGGATTACTCCCAGCATGCAAGATACAGTGGAGGCTGACTGGGTTGGCCCAGCCAGGGGAGGCAGTTAGGAAAGGAAAGAGACAGGGAGAAGGTGGGAGGGCCACCTTTGGGAAATCCAGGTGGTCCCTAGAAGCAGCACCCTCACAGAGTAGTCAAGGGACCAGCCGCTTATGACATGGAACCACCCGGAAGGTTTTGAAGTGGCAGATTCCTAGGATTTGCCTCCGACCTGTTCAATCAAAGCATTCTGAAGGTGAGGCCTTAACAAGCTCCCATGGTAATTATTTTGATCTCTAAAATTAGAGGGAAAAAAAGAAAAAAGATGATGTTTGCATGCAGAACTGTCCACGGCACACTAATTTGAACCGGTCACTCAACATTCAGTCTTCAGCCTGCTGCACGGGCACTAGCAGCAACATAGGCAAATTAAATTACTCCCACTAAGCCCCCTCAACCCCTGCTGGGACAGTCCATAGAACAGGGCAAATGAGCCCCTCTGCTCATACCACCCCTGCCTAGTGACTTCACTTACCCTTTAATGAAAATCTCTTAAAAAAAAAAAAAAAAGTCTTATTTATTTCAAAGTCAGAGTTACAGGGCAGGGGTGGAGGGTTTGCAGGGAGAGGAGCCTTCCATCCACTGGTTCACTCAAGTGGCCCCAACGGCCAAGGTAGAGCCAGGCCGAAGCCAGGAGCTTCCTCCAGGTCTCCCATGTGGGTGGCAGAAGCCCAAGCACTTGGTCCACCTTCCACTGATTTTCCCATGCCATAAGCAGGGAGCAGAAATGGCCCCCATTTGGGATGCTGGTGTTGCAGGCAGCCGCTTTACCCACTACACCACAACGCCGGCCCCTTTAAAGTCCAGTTCACAGCAGTCATTCCTTCCACCCTAGTCCAAAGTGTTTTCACCTTTTTTGAAACACAGGGCTCTGATGTCACTAATCCCGTGTTATCTGTGACATCTTCTGTATCTGGTATACCAAAACTCTGAACAGTCTTTGAGTAACAGGCCTGGTTTGGCCAACTAGACCATTAGCAGCGGCAGCTGAACGTAGCTTTCTGCACACCAAGCACTACTCTAAATGTTCTACGTACATTAGCTCCTTCAAGCCTCCCAACTGAAGAGCACCGTTAGGATACCACTTGACCACCAGCAGTTAAACAACCAATAACCAGCTTAATTTAAGGTAGCCTTTAGTTAACAAAGAGTCGATTTCCAAGCCAGGGCTCTAAGTGGAATGTATACTGCACAAGCTCAAAAGGAAGGTCATCATGAGTTCCTTTAAGTAATTACAGATGTACCTGTAAAGAATAGGGCCAACATCTGAAGTTTCAGGGTGGCCTTGGCACAGACCACTGGGTACACAGGTCAGCAGGACCCACTGGGGATGAGGCTCCTGCAGCTCTGGCTCCTCTGCCCATGCACAATGGTTCCAATCAGTGTCCTGCACAGATGTTATCTAACCCCTACCCCTATCTGGTGATGAGCGTGTCACTGCAGGTGCTATCAGAAGTCACAACAAAGACTGGGTGGATTTTATCTCTTTGTGCATAGGGGCATTCACTTTATCACAGAAGGAAATTAAATTTATCAGGACTGATTTAGTTTTCCCAAGATTATGGCTGTTCACAATGTCCCATTTAAAATCTGCATTTAAAAACAGATTGTTTGGGGGCCAGCGATGTGGCACAGCAGGTTAAAGCCCTGGCCTACAGCCCCAGCATGCCATATGGGCACTGGTTCAAATCCCAGTCACTCCACTTACGAGCCACCTCCCTGCTAATGCACCTGGGAATGCAGCAGAAGATGGCCCAGGTGCTTGGGCTCCTGAACCCACGTGGGATATGCAGAAGAAGCTCCTAGCTCCTGGCTTTGGATCGGCCCAGCTCTGGCTGTTGCAGTCATTTAGGGAGTGAACCAGCAGATGGACGATTTCTCTCTCTCTCTCTCTCTGTGCCTCAATGTCTCTCTCTAACTTTGTCTTGCAAACAAATCTTAAAAAAAAAAAAAAAAAAAGACCTGTTAGGTTTGAAAAAATATAGATTGTTTAAAATTTCTTAGAGCTTTTCTGGGGCTTAAAGATAAAGTTGATCATCCCATAAATCATCTACAATAAGTTTTTCTATGTCTTAAGGATGGTGACTGTGTTCGCTCATTGTTCAGAATTCCTTATCCTCTGAATTGTCAGCAACAACAGCATCCACAGATACTACTGGCAAAACTTTCAGATGTATGTTCACTTGGTTTATCTGAACATATTTAATCCTCAAAAAATACTCTTCAACAGTTTTGTTGCTTTTCTACTTTAGATTTCTGCTTGATGATAAATTCCTTTGCAACTGTCCCTGTGAAGTGTGTGGTTTAGTTCTAGCAGTTATGGGTTAAGACGTCCACATCCCAGGATGTGGGTTTGATACCTGGCTCCAGCTGCTGACTCCAGCTTCCCGCTTCTGGCTAATGCAGACCCTGGGAGGCAGCAGTCAGGGCTCAAGTGGTTGGGGTCTCTGCCACCCACGTGGAAGATCTACACTGAGTTCCTGCTTCAGGCTGGCCCAGTCTCAGCCATTACAGGTATTTGGGGATGGAGCCAGCAGATGAGAGTTTCTCTCTCTCTCTCTCTCTCTCTCTCTCTCTCTCTCTCTCTCGAAGGCAAAACCATCCAGCATTCTCTGCTCTTTGACGCCGCAGCTGGAACAGAGTCTATTTATATTTACACTAAGGGGCTTGAAATGAGACAGATTTACAGTAGTAAGAATAAAGGCCTGATGTGAGGCTTATTCTGTGATTGACACGAAGGACTTCAGACTTGCAAACTGTTAGGTTTAATGACCACGGCATATGGATGCTCAGTTAACATGGTATGTGCCAGGGACTGTTAGAAGGACTTCATCTAATCCTCGCGATACTCTGATTGGTGATCCCGCTGCACCCGAGAGGACCCGGGGGCCCAAGAGTCACAGCATCTGGGGCTGAGGCTGCCCGAGCAGTCTGCCTGGGGCGCCGCACACTCCATACCTCCCTCTCCAGACGGTGTCCTCAATCGGCATTCTGAGGGGAAAGCAAATGACGGCAAGCATGCAGGTACTGTACAGGCTCATCTGTAGCTAGCATGCCTCCCAGAACTTTAGCCTGAAGACACACTGAAATGGCAGCGCATCGGGAATCAATGCCGGCGGCTGAGCGGGCCGACAAGTTGGAGTGGGTCTGGAGAGGGGAGGGCCGTGGAAGGGCAGGCTAGGACGAGCGGGGATCATCTGTGCTGGCTCTAAGGGCAGGGCGGAGAAGTTCCAGGCGGGAGGCCACGCGCCAGGGAGAACTGCCCTGGTTCCGGGAGTCAAAAACAAGCTGAAGGACCACCTGTCAGGCTGATGAGCATCTGTGGTCTCTTCCAGATCCTGGGTCCTACCCATCCCAACTCGGAAGGAAACAGGGAGGTAGGGCCCCCAGGGCCTCGAAGCGGACCAAGTAGAACATCGCTGAGGGTACAGTCCTCCACCGCAACATGGCGGGGTATGCTGGTCAAGGGCTGACTCCACCGGAAGCCCGGAGAGCCCTTAAGGTTTCACTTCCGGGTCAGCAAAGCCAACAGAGTGACGGCAATTTCTGGCTGCCATTCTAAGCGGCCATTGTGCATTGTCATGATCATTCTACTTGCTAGTTAAGCTTATTTTAGGATTTACAGTGTCTGCCTCGCAGGATTCCGAGTCAATCACCCCAGACTAACGCGATAAACAGCATTTTAGAAAATTCTTCCACGACCCGGCTCGGCGAATGCTGCCGTTACTCCAGTCGCTTGTCTCCTCCTTTCCATGCTGATGCTCACTCCCTACGCCAGCTCTGCCTCCCCAACACGAAGTGCTGCCTTGAAGCACGACCCGCGGGAGGCTCCATGCGGGACGTGACGGGAAGTGGAGGGAAGATGTTTCATAACCGAAGCACCTTGCAGCACAGATGACTTACAGATCCCAGGAGAGCCATCTCCCTACAAAGCCTGTCAGAAGAAATCAGCGCTCACTGAGCAAACTGCAAGCAGCTTCTCTTCTCAAAGTCCTCGGGGAGCAGCGCGGCCCATTTCCTGGACCGGGGGCTCTGAGGATCGGATGCCATTCGAGTTCCTACACCGGACTTTGTCAAGCCGTCTGTCAGGACAGCAGAACAGGTGCGAAGTGAAGTGACCAGGAGGAACACCTTCTCTGTCTGTAGGCAGAATGCCACAAGAAAAACAAGGGCAGATTTGTGGGGAAGCTCCAGGCCGCATTAGGACCACAGTGGGTAGTAAAGGTCCACTTGTACTGCAAATACCACTCCAGAGATGGACTGACAGCAACCATTCATTCACCTCTGCTTATTCTGACCTGCCCCCGCCCCCGCCACCCTCCTGCATGAGAAGCCTGCCGGGTGGAAGTGGTCACTGTCCCCTCACAGACTCCCCAGCCTCACAGCACTGGGTCCCAGAACAAAATCACATGCCCCAGCCTTCTTGACCATGGAACAAAGTTTTGGAGCACAACCAGGAAATGCCACTTTTGGGGATGTCTGACCCAGGCCCGGCTCAGAGCAACATGGGGGTAAGATGTTGAGAACACAGGGTGATCAGAGAGCCAGAAGGAAATAAACCTTGCTGCTGGCCAAGCCACCCTGCCTGGAGGCTTTGGTTGCCAACAGCCCTGCCTAATCTCTGCAGATAAGAGGTGAGGAATGAGATAATTAAGGAATTAAGGAGAACTGGGTGACAATGGTGCTTAGCCTCAGCTGCCCAGAAGAGCTATCCATGTGGAAGCTTCAGCCTCAGAGACTCCTGATTCAGTTGATTTGTTTTAAAAACCTGAACATCATTTCTCTTGGATTTCCTGAGAGCAGTCAAGAGGAGAACCAGTCAACAGTGACAGCTGCTCCCCAACACCACAACCAGCACTGCCTGGATACCCAGGGTTCCCATCACTCTCCAGCACAGATGCATCTGACGGGCACTGAGTTCTTGTAACTCACCAGTGATTTGTGCATCTGGGTCCTCATTGTCTAGATAAACAGAATCACCAGACCACCTTCTGCGCAACACCACATCTTAAGAGCCCTTCCCTTTCCTCACTTTCTCCCAGAGACAGTTCCTTGCTCCAGGACAGAATGGCACCAAGGTTGCCTGGAAGCTTGTCCAGGATGCGGGAAGCCAGGCTCATCCCAGAACCACAAAATCAGAGCCCACGTTTTTCAACACACACACGGAGCACCTTCTCGTGTTTTTTTTTTTTTTTTTTTACAGGCAGAGTGGATACTGAGAGAGAGAGACAGAGAGAAAGGTCTTCCTTTGCCATTGGTTCACCCTCCAATGGCCAGCGCACCGCGCTGATCCGAAGGCAGGAGCCAGGTGCTTCTCCTGGTCTCCCATGGGGTGCAGGGCCCTAGCACTTGGGCCATCCTCCACGGCACTCCCTGGCCACAGCAGAGAGCCGTCCTGGAAGAGGGGCAACTGGGACAGAATCCGGCACCATGACCGGGACTAGAACCCGGTGTGCCAGTGCCGCTAGGTGGAGGATTATCCTATTGAGCCGCGGCGCCGGCCTGCACCTTCGTATTTTAAAGCTGTGACACCCTGCATGCTTTGCCTGACCAAGAAAGTATGCATACACTCAGGCGGAGGCTGAAGAAGGGACCAAGCTTGTTGAAGAGAAGGCCCAGAAGGGAGTCAGTCAATTCTGGGGCCAGATCATTGTTGTTACACATCTGGGAAGAATTGACCTGAGACTCCTCCCTCCTGAGAGTGACAAGTTGAGAGAGTTCACTTAAATACTGCCTATGGACCTGGTCCAGGGCACACAAGTAAGCTCAATCACACAGAAGCTCCTTCCATCTAACTTCTGTCTTACTCATGGCTCCACTACGTTTGCTTGGTTGGAACGAGAGCATTGTATTTCTCTTGTAATCAATCTGCAAAACAAACCAAAAGATCGGTGCAATTTTTGTTACTTTGCAGATAAAGGAACTGGAGCAAGAAAAGGAGCTCAAGGCCAAAGAGAGTGGGGAAGCAGCCACAACCCATGCTTACTGCGTATGGGCTTCATAAAATGAGTTCAGGGGGCCAGCTCTGTAGCATGGGGAGTAAAGCTGCCATCTGCAGTGCCGGCATCCCATTTAGGCACCGGTTCAAGTCCCAGATGCTCCACTTGTGATCCAGCTCCCTGCTGTGGCCTGGGAAAACAGAAGAAGATGGCCCTGACCCAAGTCCTTGGACCCCTGCACCCATGTAGGAGACCTGGAGGAGGCTCCTAGTTCCTGGCTTCAGATGAGCCAAGCTCCAGCCATTGTGGCCATTTTGGGAGTGAACTAGCAGATGGAAGACTCCTCTCTCTGTGTCTACCTCTGTAACTCTTTCAAATAAATTTAAAAAAAAAAAAAAAAAAAGTGAGTTTTGGTGAATCTACCAAGGTTGCCTGGGTGTGTGGGGAGCAATCCGGACTAGATTAAGTTGCTCGAATTAGGACTTATTCTATGCATCTGCTCTCCCACAATATGGCGCTGGGAGAGAAGTAAACAGCTTCCGCACAGCTGCCTCCAGTTCAACCAATTAACTGTAGGACTTGCTCCTGATTGGAGAGCAGCGTACTCAGCCGAGTTGGGATTGGCGGAGGAGGACTATAAAGGAGGAGAGAGACGGCATGCACCAGGAACATCTATGGGGAACATCTAAGGGAACCCGTGCAGCCCCCGAGAGAGCCGGCCGGCGGTGTGCCGCTCCCCTGCGGAAGTGGGGAATGCGGCCAGGGGGAACTGCCCTTCCACGGAGGTGGAAGGGATAGTAGCCAACCCGGGAAGAACCAGCAGCAAACCCGGGGAGGGCCGAGCAGACGAAAGAACAGCGCAGGGTCCTGTGTCGTTCCTCCACGAAGAGGGGGAGCGACATGGGTGGCGATTTCTCCTAGCCCTAAACATGCTGGAACCTGTTCCAGGTTACCATTGCCACATGTGCAAATCCTTCACAATTGTCCTTCCTCCGTTCTGACACTTGGCTTTAAAGCATCCACCTGCTGTTTCACAAAACAGCCACATTTCAGAGGTGACTCTCCTCTCTCTGGCTAATGCAAGCATGCTCTCCCGCTCGCTGCCCCTCCTCTCCAGTATGTCAGATGTCATCTCAGGTCTTGGGAGGGCCAGCGATGAGGGCTGTCACTTTTCTTTTTCTTCTAGATGAGCTCACCTGATGAGGAACATGGACGTGCGTAGTCTGTGTTAGGATGTGTTCAGCTGACAGTCACCTTTGACCTACAGGTGACTCACCATCTAGCTTCACGGTTCGCAGTGTGACGAGTTTCTCTGAGCCTTCTTCCCACACACCTGCTGGCCTGAGCACCTGCCACAGCATCCGCTGACCCATCTTAGAGGTGAGAACTTCAATGCTGCCCCGTGATGGACAGGGACCACACACAGGGCAGGTGACAGGGGTGGGGGGTGGATTCCCTGACAGTCGTTCACACACCTACTCATGCCCTATGGTTTACTGAACACCTATTATGTGCCAAGCCTTACCTAGCTGCTAGAAAGGCAGCAGAGAACTCGAGAGACCCAAATCTCTGCCTTCATGCAGCTGATCCAGCTGGGCGGGAGGACATCATACAAAAGGAGTAAAATACATACATTCTGGGGCCGGCGCTGTGACATAGCAGGTAAAGCAGCCACCTGCAGTGCCGGCACCCCATATGGGTGCTGGTTCGAGACCCGGCTGCTCTACTTCCAATCCAGCTCTCTGCTACAGCCTGGGAAAGCAGTAGAAGATAGCCTAGGTCCTTGGGCCCCTGCACCTGCATGGTAGACCCCGAAGAGGCTCCTGGCTCCTGGCTCTGATCGGCGTAGCTCCAGCTGTTGCAGCCAATTGGGGAGTGAACCAGCAGATGGAAGACCTCTCTCTCTGCCTCTCCTTCTCTCTGTATAACTCTGACTTCCAAATAAATAAATAAATCTTAAAAAAAAAAAAATACATACATGGCCAGCATCATGAAGACAGCACAGCAGGGAAGGAGGGCAGAGAGACTTCCAATTTAGTTGGTTAACATACACCTCACCATGGAGGGGCCTTCCCAGGAGGGAAAAGTCTGAGCACAGAGCCCCAGGAGCCCGGAGAAAGGGACTGGAGCAGACAGATATCACAGGAAGGCGTTCCAGGGAGGCTACAGAGTTTATCTGTATGCCTATAGCAATGACGGCCTACAGAGATTTGTCAGGTCCACAATTCATTTCAGTTTTTCAACCCTCTCCATGAGACTGCAATGCGGGCTGAGGGTTCTCACTTTCAGCTAAGGAAACCCTGGAAATGTGAGTGACATCAGAGCGCCCTACAAAGCAGGGAAGGGCTGGAATGAAGCCACAAGTCCCAGTCCCCAAGGCGGACAGGAGGAGAGAGTCAGCTCAATGCCAGTTCCTAGCTCAGCCCAGTCTGAGCATCAACCTGCCTGGGGGCTTACTCGGCCCAAGCATTGCTCCATGCCCCTCACATCCTCCAAGGCTGTGAATGGCCTGAGCCCCAGCTCTGTCCACCAAGTCAGTGAAGTGCCCAATCCAGGGGAAAGACTTCACACTGTTGAGGGCTGCTCCACCCGAGAAGAATGTTTCAGCAAATAAACCCACAGAGGGCCAGAGGTTCACCTTTCCCAAGAAAGTGCAAGGTAGGACTTCCTGCTTTAAGCACATTTCAACTTTGTCATTTTTTTCCACCGAAGTGCTGTCATGCGTGGAGATCTAATGACGAAGATTCTTTAATAAGGACAACAAAATACTGCATAAAAAGCCTGCATGCTCTGGTTTTCCAGTCCCTGCTTGTGGCCTATTTGGTGGTACACACTGGTACAGTTTAGACAGAAATCTCTCAACCCTTCTCTGATATAAGCTGGCAATTCTGAGGGAAAGAAACCAATAAACTTCTTCTCCCTAGTAAGAATTACAATTGGACTTCCCCCAAAGCGGTAATGCATTTTTACATCCAAGTATTTCCTGCCTCGCCCCTCCTCTGCTCCAAGTCATTTATTTATTCATCTCCTTTGCATCTGTGGCTCCCAAAGTGGCAGATCAAAATCACCCTCCTTCTTCTTAAATGCACACTTCCAGGCTGGACCTCCCAAGATTCTCATTCAGTAGCTCTTGGGGCCCAAGCAATAGCTGATATGAAAGTCAGTCCCTTCGGCAATTCTAATAGCCGGCACGGCAGTCCCTGGTTCTGTAACACAAGCCATCAGCCACATGCTGCTCGGCAACACTGCTGTTATCTCGGGGTCCCAGTGCACTTTTCTCTTTCAGTGACTTCTCACACTTGCCTCCCTAATTAAAGAGCAAGCCCTCTGCGGCAGTCATGCGTGGAGATGTAGGTTCACTACGAATGAATGTGTGCTGTTTTTAAAAACTGCATTGATGAGGGCTGGCGCTGTGGCGCAGCTGGTAAAGCCGTAGTGTGCGGTGCCGGCATCCCATTTGGGCACCGGTTTGAGTCTTGGCTGCTCCACTTTCGATCCAGCTCTCTGCTATGGTCTGGGAAAGCAGTGGAGGATGGTCCAAGTGCTTGGGGCCCTGCACCTGCGTGCCTCTCCTCCTCTCTCTGTGTAACTCTGACTTTCCAGTAAATAAATAACTCTAATAACTCTTCAAAATAAATAAATAAAAACTGCATTGATTTCCATGTTTCTGGTACTAAAATAAATTTATCTTTTAAAAGCATTTTTGTTAAGTTGACGAGCTGACAGAGAGTCAAAGAGACAGATCCCCCATCTTCTGGTTCATTCTCCAAATACCCACAACAACTGGGATGGACCCAGACTGAAGCCAGTAGCCAGAAACTCAATACACATCTCCCCCATGGGTGGTAGGGACCCAATCATTGGCCCCCTCACCTCTGTGTCCTGGGGTGCACAGCAGCAGCAAGCTAGAATCAAGAGCAGAGCCGAGACCTCAACCCAGGCACTCTATTGTGGGATGCAGTGTCTCAAGTGGCATACAGACAGTGAGGCCAAACACCCAGCCCTAAACTAATCTTTAATTCCATTTTTCCATGAACAGTTTCAAGTTTCCTCATATGTCAAGTGCTTGAAAATACGACTGTCCTCTCCCGCCAATTTCTCAGGAACTGTAGACAGGAACTCTCTGAACAACGGACTGTCTCATTTATTTTTAGCATCTAGCAGAATATCTGACAGAGAATTAGACTGTTCATAAATGTCTAGTGAAAGGCAAAGGCATCTTCCCCATAGGTTCCACTGGTACAAGGCTCTTTAATAGATTACCTAGGGGGCCGGAGCTGTAGCGCAGCGGCTTAACACCCTGGCCTGAAGTGCTGGCGTCCCATATGGGAGCCGGTTCGAGACCCAGCTGCTCCACTTCCAATCCAGCTCTCTGCTATGGCCTGGGAAAGCATTAGAAGATGGCCCAAGTCTTTGGGCCCCTGCACCCATGTGGGAGACCCAGAGGAAGCTCCTGGCTTCTGGCTTCAGATCAGCACAGCTCCGGCTGTTGCGGCCAATTGGGGAGTGAACCAATGGATGGAAGACCTCTCTCTCTCTCTCTGCCTCTCCTCTCTCTGTGTAACTCTGACTTTCAAATAAATAAATATATCTTTAAAAAATAGATTACCTAATGGTGAATCAGTTCCGGAAGGTTGTAAATTAATGTTTGAACCAAAACCTTCATTTTCACATATGAGGTGATGGGGTCCCCAGAGAAGTTCAGGGATCTGCCCAGGTCACAGCATAGGTGAGACAGAAACTCAGCGCTCTGCTGCAGGCACGGCCAGCCAAGCTCTCAGCTGTTGCTGATGACCACGTACCAACTGTTAATTTGATTCATGGGCTGCTGTTCTTCTCAGCTGTGTTTTGTTAAGACACTGTCCCCTATTGCTTAGGAAATGGTTTGGCCCAATCAGTGGTTCAATGAGCTGATTCTGTTCACCACTAAGCTAATCCCAAGAGGACTTGCACCATCCTGGTTAGCGAAGTGACTCAGGCTGCAGCTGGCTGGGACTTTTTGGCTGCCTTGGCCAAATAGGTTTAGAAAAGAGGAAGGCACACGGGGAGCCTGGCCTTAGCATTGCCCAGGGGGCTGATGTTGTTAGAAGGCCCTGCTAGATGAGGACAGACTGACTGCCTGCCACAACCAAAGACAGGAAACTCAGCCCAGGGAGGGTCCGCGTTTGGCCCGCCCCACTCCTCAGGTCCACGTTCCTTCCTGCTTTTGGCCACAGTGTGAGTTTTGGCTCTTAGCGCCACTGAGAACAGTGAAATTTCCTTCCAGGAAACTGAAAAGACTGTGCACCTGTTCAGAACCCAAAATAGAAGGATTGAACTGTCAGAGTGTTTTAATATGCCTTTTCCTGTCTTCAAGATCTGATTACGAGGGAACTCGAGAGAGATTATTCCAGTACCACACCAAGCACAACCACCCCAAACACACCACCCCGCATGGTGGCAAAGCCCGGAGTATGTCACCTTCTCCTGCCGGCTACATCTGCGATCCTCACTGCCCAGTGACGCGGACTGAGGGCTGCAATGACGGGTACACACATGGCCATGCTCCAGGGCCATGTGCTGGGAAAGCCACCAGCCAGGAGCCACCTCCCTGCGGGCCAAATGCAGGGGTTGTGTGTAAAAAAGCATAAACATCAAGCGAAGGACAACAAGGATGCACCCAGCTACAGCCCAAGTCAGCATCTGCCAGGTGTGCAGAGACAAACCAGTGTCCACTAGCAGCAAGCGAGTAAGAGGCAGGCAAAATCAGTCCAAGAAAAAGATGTGAGGAAACAGGAACCATTAACAAGGCAAAGGGGGGAGGATGCCTCTCCCCCACGCTGCCTTCAGGCTGCCACCCTCAATGTCTACACTCTCCCCACACTCATTTCCCAAGTCTAATTGGAGAGTGAGATTGTCATGTTCACCATACCAATTCCTCTTCCTTCTCCAAACGCTCATTTCGAAGTGCTTTTCCCAATCTGGTCTCACAAACACTGTTACTGTTCTAATCTGGGTTCTCATGGAAGTTCTGGGAAGTCTTACACCTAGACACTGGCTGGTAATTAAGTTACCGCTTAGAGTCTCTCATCCCTGGATAAGCTGGAGGAGGGCAGCCTAAAGGGGCTTCCATTACAGGAAAAAATTACTGAAATAAAAACCCCGGAAGGCCACGGGGAGGTCTGAGAGTTCATCCAGAAAGAAAGGTGACTTGGCAAGCCAGCAAACCCTCCCTCCGACTCGCCGCTGGAAACCAGTATGCACAACGGGCATCTGCCAAACAGGAAACGTCACAGCTCGCGACGACCGACTGGAGCGATGGAACGGCTTCAGAACCCACACTGCTGGCGTCACGCAGGGCTTCGCCGTGCAGTCACTGCCGAGCTGAGCTGTGCACGTGCTCTCCTCCCAGGGCTGGGGCTTCCCTGCGTCACGGCCACCACTGGCATCGGCAGCACCTACTCGGCATCCATCACACCCTTGCCGACAAGATGTGAGGTGTTTCATCCTTCTCATTGCAACTGTCCCACATTCGTTCCTATTTCTTGTTTCTACTCCGTTACACTGTTTTCAATTCCCAGTTGTTTTTCCTCAGCACGCAAAATGATTAAAGAAGTATGGAAGTGAGATGTCACTGAGCGTGATGGGTCCCTGCCATCAGTCTCTGTCCCCTAGTCTAGTGACACCTCAGCTTTCTGCCATCAACGCAGAGCACAGGTGCAAGTGTCTGGCTTTGGGAGGGGAGAGGGTCTCTGGTGTCCACTCAGCTTCCCTCCTGCGCACCCCCACCCCCCACGTGCCTGTTGCTCCTCTGCCGGCGGCCCCTCTGGCAGCTCCACAGCGCCACCTCAGGGACTCTGACATTCGTTCTTGGTGTTGCAGCCAGATCGTCACATTCCCCGAGCGTAAGCTCCTTCCGACCAGGCAGCTGCGGCATGCCTCCGCCAGGAAGTGTCTAAGGTGCTGCCTCTGAACTCTTCCCACCCAGAACA